CTAACCGCTGAAGTACCGCCACAAAGTCTATCTTACGCTCTTGATTTTGCCTTAACTAGATTTAGATAAAGTGAAAACTATTTATTCGGTGGTGCAGCCTTTGGCAGTGGTGCACAAATCCAACTTACAAAAACACTCGAGCGAAAGCCCCTTGTCCACGGCGCCACCACTCCCCCCCCACATACTTAGACGTACGTAAGCAAGTAGTGTAGCTACGAACCTTCCCAGTTGGATTATAATGCGGTTCTGTTCTTGCGCGTGGCAGCAGCAATACGGCTCGGGAGCTCGATGCCAATGTCGAGGTCTGCTGCTGCTGCTGGCCACGGCGAGAGGGGTTCAGCAGAGAGCGAGAGAGAGAGTTCGTGTCGTTTTGCTATTCCTCCTTCGATGAAGGGGCACAGACTATAGCGGTATTCACGAATGTGTTGACGTTTTTAGATGTTCATAAAAATGTACGAAACAAGCTTGTGAAATGGCCATATCTTTATTATTATTATTATCCTGCAGTAAATGTTAAATTTGTGCCCATTTTTTTGATTGCCAAGATGTTTCAATTCACTCACTGAAGCCCTGGCTGTCCTCAGTGAACTACCGCCGGTTCTGAATATCAGCCCCCCCCCCCCCCCCCTATTCGCATTATTTAGTTTATTTAGCAGCATCCTCAGATACCTTTGTGTGCGCGGTCGTGCTATAAAACTACAGCGCGTTCCATTTGAGAACAATTTCGGGCTCAATAGGTTCCCCTTAATGCGCCCGCACGCGCGCGCGTGTGCTCGCGACTCCTGCGCGCGGATATCAAGGAAGGTGGCAGGAAAACGTTATCGACGAATTCGTCCCTTTTGTTTGGTGAATTTGTCACGGGGCAAAGGTCCCATCGTGATTTTAAAGTACCGAGTCGGGGCCGGCAAAACAGAAAGATTGGTGTGGCACTTGAATGCATCTGGGTGGAGCGGTGGTGCAGTGGTTAGCGTATCGCCACTCGTGAACCCTGACGAGCCGAGTTCGATTCCCGGGTCGCCAGCTGACGCGAGTGGCGGGTGATATCCGAGCTGGCCCCGAGCCACCCATTCACAAATCCACACCCGGTGTGGTGAAATACGGTCAGATAACCCTCCATGGGAATGCCTTCGTCCAGCAGTGGACTAAGAAAATACAAAGTTAGTGACATGCTTTTCTAAAATTTTTACTTTAACTCCCGGTGGGGGGGAAAAAAAAAAACATACCTCATTTTATTCGATTAAATGCCATTCGGTGTTCTTCTGCCGCACACCGTGGTAGACGCGGATGCTTGATGCGTGAATGGAAAGTTACAAACGCTGTGGTGTCACCCAGAACACACCGCGAAACGTGGAAGGACTCGGTGCCCGATTCACAAACACGAAGGAGGCATCGTCGTGGCAATACAACTCCGGCTTAGCCACCTCCGTGTATAATTAGAGTTAGTTTAACACGTAGTAGTAGTAGGCCTTTTGCGACCGATATTCTCCATAATAGAGGTTTTTTTTTTTAGGTTAGATCGTGGCGCCCCAGATGCCAGTCCCAGGCCTGCAACAGTTGACCCAGGTCGGTGCACAGATTCACTGCTGCGTCCTCCAGTTGTGTGACCTCCTGGCAAGGCATCTCCAGTTTGTGTTGGTGACCTCGTCGCACAGGGCCTTTGCTGTGCTCCTTTTTATAGTTGAGGCACAGTGTATATACTGCTTTTGTTGAAACACGGAGTAGGGGGGGAGGGGGGGGGAGTTAGATGGCGTAAATATAAATGTGTCGTTAAACCCGCCACCACCCGACACAGCTGATTAGTAAGGTTTGTCATGCAAATAAACATGCTAATTGGATACTAGTACAGCACACCGGTGTGTTGGAGAGCAAAACCCACAACATGCACTCGAATTGTAAACGTGGGTTTACTGTCCAACACACCCGTGTGCTGAACTAATAACGAATCGGCATGTTTTATTTACGTGACAAACCTTACCAATTGGCTGTCAGGTGGTGACGGGTTTAGCGACGCTTTTATATATTTATTTACGCGATGTAACCCATAAACACCCTCCATTGTGGATAAAAGGATAGTGGTTGCTGTACATCAACATTTTCCATACGAAGAAGAGGTGTAGTCCAGGATTGTGGGCTTCACAATTGAACGTGGGATCTCATAAATTCGAGGCTGTTAAAAGTAACGGCCAGAATATTTGTTACAAAACAGCCACCTGCTATGGGACCTGCACTTTAACTCGATTCCTCACAACGGCGGCACGCCCTTTGCGGCAAATGGCATTTAAGGTATGGCTGTGTGGCTATTCTCTCTCTGTCTCTCTCTCTCCCCCTCTCTTTTGTTACGATGACATTTTAGGAACAGGATTCCACCTCAGCTATGAGCCCTTGAAAAACCGGATCCGTTGGAATGTCGGATTAGGAGGGAGATTTTTACTCTGGGATGTGCGTCCGGCCGTCTGTTCGTTCTGTCCGTCCATTCGTCTGTTTTGTCCGTCTGTCCGTTCGTTTGTCCGTTTGTCTGTTTGTCCGTCCGTTCGGCCGTCTGTTTCGTCCGTCCGTGTGTGCGTCCGTCCGTCCGTTCGTTTGTCCGTTTGTTTGTCTGTATGTCCGTCCGTTCGGCCGTCCATTGCGTCCGTCCATGCGTCCTCCCCGCCTTTGTGTGTTCTTGCTCGTGAAAGCGCTGGGGCTGGAGGAATGAGACACCGGCCAGCCCAGCCTGTTGAGCCACCTTCATCAATAGCTGAAGCACTTTGCAGGGGGGACCACACGAGGAGGTGGTGGCGGCGGCGGTGGCGGTGAGGAATCCAACAAAAGGAGGAAGGATAGCGAAATAATAACCCGAGCGTTCACCTTTATTGCGGCTCTGGCGCTCCTCGCTGTGTGTGTACATGAACCCCAATCCATCCATCCACACGTTTAGTTTGTCGATAATCGCGCGAATAAATGCCCTCAAGTCGATTGTAAATACAAGCAGACATAACCTGTAAGCCACAGCACCAAGTTTGATTCCTGGTCAAGGGCGTTTGATTCCTGGTCAAGGGCGTTTAAAAAAATACTGATTCCCTTTACCCTGGAAATCATCAGCGAGTCTCAACGCGCTCTGTGAGCAAATCAAAGTCTCTCTTCCCGTGTGCGACCCGGGGCTATGAACTCCAAACCACGGACCACATAACCTCGCACTGGCCCAAATATACACGTGTGAGCGTGGTGGGTGGGTGGGTGCGTTGGCGCATCTGCCATTCAAAACTCTCAGACAAAGCAAATTTAATTGCTCAATCGCTTCCAAATCTGTCTCTCGTAGTTGCTCTTCATTGGCCGTACTGAAGGAATAAGCTGTAGGGTCCGGCATTAGGAATGTTTTGTCCAATTCCATGAGTGAGTTTTTTTGTTGTCGTGTGAGAGGAAGCAAGAGTACCAGGAGAAAACCCACAAATCTTTGTATGTCTGTACGTACATGTTTGTATGTCCGTACGTACATGTTTGTATGTCTGTACGTACATGTGTGTATGTCTGTACGTACATGTTGAACTTCTTTCGCGTCTTACGTAGCCAACCATGCTAACCGGAGGTGCGGGGGGATGGGGGAAGGACAACAAACTAAACACAAAAAAGCTCTAAATAAATGAGTTTTCAATTTAGTTTAATGGTGTGGTGTATTATATAGTGTAGTGTATAGTAGTGCATGTATGTTGAACTTCTTTCGCACCGTTACGTAGCCAACCTGGATTTAAAAGTGCATAGCTCCAGTGCATGTTTTTAAGTGTGGGTGGAGCAGTGCTGTATCGTGGTTAGCGCGCTCTGCTATGAACCCAGTGATACAAGTTCGATTCCTGGTCATGGCGCACCACCTCCTTCATCAAATACGAGTGGATATAGCGTGTGCTCTACACGGCTAGATTCAATAATCCATTGCTGTATTACCATCTCCTGGTGACCTTTCATCCCAAATAAATGTAAGAGTTATCGGCTGAATTCTACTCTGCCACTTCCCCCTTTGCCTGCTAGCCATCGAACAAAGACGGTCACGGCATCACACGGCGCTTTCAGATGCGCTTCTGCGGCCGTCTGGAATATCCAGATTGAAAAACGAATTTCTTAAGAACCGCTTTTTTGCGTTTAGTTTGCTGTCCTTCCACCCGCACCTCCGATGAGCACGGTGGGCTCCGTATGGTGCGAAATAAGTTCAGCATCCGTACTCGCTGCCTTCACCAACCCACACTGACCAGTGAAGAATGATAAAATAACCTCCACCATCCATACGGTGTGGGCAGGCCCTCATCCAGCAGTGATTTTGCAGAGGGGGCTGTACGTGTGCACGTCTGTTGTACGTAACTTGCAACGTTGTACCCGTGGCACAGCACCACCACGGGATGGGGAGTAGAGTCAAGGATGGGGAAAGGGAAGAGAGAAAAGAAAGATTGGGAAATGAGAGCCAAAGGATGGAAAATGAATGGGATAATGGAAGCAAAGGGTCAGGAGAGGTGAGGATGGGGAGGAAGAGGCGACATCAGCGCCTCGACGATGCTGCACGGAGGAGGAGCGGCGTCTGTTTTCACAGCGGGCGGCGGGGAGGGGTTTGGAGTGGGGGTGGCCACGCACAAGCCGCGTGGTTTACGGGAGGCTCCAGCTGGTTTAAGAACAGAGATGGACGCACGTCAGCAGCAAGATGTTTCAGAGAATGAGCGATTCTTGAATCTAATTGCAACGCCCGAACTGTGACGCTTCGCCAAAATCCTCGTGGAGGCGATTGAATCATTCCACCGTTACTAGCAACACTTGGCCCTGCGGCTACAAGGCTTAAAGTGCACGCGTGCGTGTGTGTCTGGTCAACTCAACCTGAAATGGTCGACTCAGCACTTGGGGAGGCAAAGGTGGCCAGGCGTGGGAGTGTTGGCCACCAAACCCCCCCTCGTGTGACATTGCGGCCTGCACTTGCCATCAACATTCTGTTCACGTCCACCTGGGGGATCTTTGTCTGTGCGCGTGTTCGGTGTGCGAGGCAGATGTTCCAGGAGCTGGGCCTGCCGGTGGTGGAGGCCGCCGTGACTGGCTACAACGCCAGCCTCTTTGCCTATGGGCAGACGGGCTCCGGGAAGACCTACACCATGATGGGAACACCGGTGAGATCATTCCTCCATGATATTGATTCACACGAAATAATTATCATCATGATCGTGATCAACAAGCATAACTAAGGCTGCGATTTTTGGCATGGTAATTATTTGGTGAAGTGTTCGGCCGAGGTGTGTGGAAAAAAACAATAATAATAATCTCGTAATAATAGAATGAGTTGTATCGTGTGCAAATTTCGCGAGACAGACACACCGTTGTTTGATATCTGGATTGCCTACTTACCTCGGCAACTGGAAGTGCCTTACAACTCACCTCCTCTCAAACATATTCAGGGCGCCCGGTTGTGTGTAGGAACAGCCGTAGGCCCCTCCCAGCCTCACCCCTCCCCCTCACCCCCCACCATCCCCGTGGCGCTCACACCGTCCCACATCATGACCTACGGAAGGTTTGAAAGGAAGTAAAGAAAGCGCCTACATTTAATGCGTTTCCTAAGCCAGTTCCAAGATTTCCCCGGCAGACTTGATTCAAATCCACGATTTCCGTGACCGTGACCTCCGCTGCGATATCGTAGCCTTAGCCTGTGACGCGATCAATCCACTGCTGGATGAAGGACTCGCCGAGCCCTCGCCCGTGGCACACTTCTGCGACGCGGCAATTGAGCCGGGCACCCGCGCACGAGCTGATTCAATCGCTCCGTCTCCTACGGCACGTTCTCTCTCGCTTGGCCGCGGCTCCATCGTGAATTTGTCGCCCTCCGGCAGCTGTCCCCTTGGGTAGCTGTGACGTGTGCCCGCCCGAGCCCCCGCCTCGGAGTTTTCCTGACGGTCAATAATTGCCGTCCGCTGACCCGTGTGCGCTCCCTGAATCCACGCGTTCTTCTTCCTGCCTCGCATAAATTCGCGCAATTGGGTGGAGGCTTAAAAGAAAGCCGTCCCTTGGTGTGGACCAATCAGTTTCAAGGCCAATGCATCATATTATCATGGTATGTTTTTTGTTTGCATTCTGACCGCACGTATTGTGGTTAATGCAGACATGAATCCTTGTAATAAGGTTGCAGTTTTGTTGCCAGAAAAAAGGGGAAACACCCTGTTATTATAACGCAATTGCATTACGTCCCCAAAGTAGATGCTGATTTTTTGGAAATTGTTTGCTTTTACTCGGATGTTCATCGTACGTGGTAACAATATTGAACGTGTCTTATATTTAAAAACAATCCCTGCCCGGTGAGGTTGTATAGTGAGAGTTAGGTTTGTTGCGAGGCTTCATTATGATTGTAATTGCTATTTCATCAGTGAAAATGATCTTCCTGGAAATTAAGTACGATATTATTTTTTTCAAATTCACACTTTGTTATTGTAAAGGCCCACTCGTTGTTAATTTCACGTCGAAAGTTTTTGTGTCGCGAGTTTTGTTTCAGGACAGAAACGGATTGCGGATGTTTTATTCATCCATTCTGTGCTCCGTTTATTTTACAGGAGTCGCTGGGCCTGATTCCGCGCATTTGCGAGGTGATTGTTTCAACTGTCGAAATTAAACAAACCACTTTTAATTCGGTCTGACGCGTACGGCTTGAAACGTGGGGCAAGCGCGTTCATTGTTGGAGTGTGCCATGTTGGAGTGTCCCACACGTCGGCAAAGATGAATGAGGAAACTCAACGAGAACAAATTATTTGGTGACACTGCTGCTGCGTTGATGGTGGTGGTGGTGCTGCACAAGGACAATTAACAAACAACATCAAAACAATTTCTAACAGGCAACGTATTTGGGCAATCGACCTTCTTCATAGCACATGGGAAGGGCCATTGCCTAAAACGTTGCCTATTATATGCTTGTCCTTTCAAGGCCACACGCTGTGTTATTGACGAATGCGTTGGGTTTAAAAAAATAATCAAAGTGTTCAGTTTGCTCATAATATTTAGAAACACGTCAACGCCGAAGGTATAATAAACCTGGATTTATATTTCGCGTAGCGAATGCTATAAATTCTAATCGATTATTGTGAACTTAACACTGCCCCTGCAGTTATATTGAGCATGAATATATTAATTAGAATAATAATGACTAGATTTTAAGTTTTCGTGAAAGAACCAAAGAGTAATAATAATGCAATTTTCGAAAGCACCATAACAATGCAAGCGATTGCAAGACCCCTGGTCTCATACTGGCCCTATGCATTCAAATACTTAATGAACTGCTACTGCCAATATCGTAACTACCGCTGCTACCGCTGATGATGATGGGACTACAGCTGCTATGGCTATTATTGACATCAATGCGCGATGATATTGCTTCTAAAACTACAGCTGAGCTTCCCAATTATCGTTGGGAAGCTCAGCTGTTTCGTCGGGCCTATGAGGAACCCTGAGCCTAGCTCCGCAGAGCCTCCGAATCGTCACTGGGTATTTGATGATTTGTGAAAATGTGCACGTTCTAAATTGTGGCGAGATGTTAATTGCCTTGCCTGGTATACAGGAGGTCATGGGTTCGATCCTGACCCTGATGCCTGTATATTGGAGTTTGCATGTTCTCCCGGTGGTCGCATGGATTTTTCTCCGGGTCCTCCGATTTTTCCTTCCACATTTAGAAGCATGCATTTAAAGTATTTGGCTGCTCTACATTTCCGCACGATGATAAGCCACTTCGTTGAGCTATCATTTGTGGCCACGTGGGTTCGGAACAAGAGCTACATAGCTCGGTGGGCTTTTCCTGGTAAATTAAAAAATAGTTTATACATTATAGCTTATGCATTGTACAGCTTTGAATCGATCTCAGAGCATCTTCCTGTTCCATTGCATTCTGGGCCATGTTTGTGTCTGTTGACCGCGACCGTCGGTTTAATCAGCATCTGTGATCCCCGTGTAGGGCCTCTTCACTCGCATCGAGCGCGACACCAGAGCCACAACCACCTACAAAGTGGAAGTGAGGTACTGGGTTTTGTAAATACTGTATGTGCACACACGCACTCACACGTATCTAAACGAGACAAATTTCCGCCGTAGAGCCTTATGCGACTGTAAGCTATGCTTATTTTACCAGGTAAGCCCCCGCTGAGCTATATAGCTGTTCTTCAGAAGCGACCTGTCCACAAATGATAGCTCAACGAAGTGGCTTGTCGTCATGTGGAAATTTATAGCAGCCTAATTCTCTATAAGCATGCTTCTAAACGTGGGGCGAAGAAACCAGAGGGGCCGGAGAAAAATCCACGCGACCACGGGAAGAGAGACATGAAAACTCTAAATATACAGCAGGCGTCAGGGTCTGGATCGAACCCACGACCTCCTGTATACCAGGCGAGGTAGTTAACATCTCCTAGCCACCATGGCGCCCAAGGACTGTTAGCGGGCACCTTTGAAGGCCTTTACGGCACACAAGAGGATGGTATGTCCAGCACCACGCTCGGCCGCTTTTGTCTCCCTAATGCTGATGTTTTACACGCCGTACCTGGTGGAGTACTTATTTCAGGCTGAGTAGACCTCGGAGAGACCTAAGACCGAATCAGATGTGTCTCACCGATGTTGGCCGTGAGCAGGAATCAAATTGGTGTTGACCGGTTCATCGCGCAGCGTGCTCACCACGGCACTCTTGCTCCCCGAAATACTTTCATACCGTATACAGTACACACACACACACACGTAGGGCAGCATGATAGTGCAGTGGTTGCACACGTGCCTGACAACAAGGAGAGCCTGGGGGGTTCTATTCCCGACTCCGGTGTATGTCTGTGTGAAGTTGGTTTGTTCTCCCCCTGTTCTGAGTGGGTTTATTGTTGGGTTATTCAGTTTCGTGCCAAAGCGAAACAAATAAAATAGCATACAATGCATTAACCAAATTTAGCAATTACATCCGAGCCAAATTTGTTTGTGAGAATTGCTCTTTCAACTTACTGGTGAGCCGAAACTATTCTAACTATTTTTATTTTACCAGGAACGGCCCACTGAGCTATGTCGCTATTTTTCAGAAGTAACCTGGCCACAAATTATAACTCAACGAAGTGACTTGTTATCACGTGGAAATTTATAGTAGCCAAAGACTCTAAACGCATGATTCTAAATGTGGACGGAAAAAACGGAGAAATCCACGCGACCACGGGGAGAACATGCAAACTCCAAATATACAGGCGTCAATGTCGGGATTGAACCCACAACCTCTTGCATACCAGATGAGGGAGTTAACATCTCGCCACCGTGGCATCCCCAATAACAACAATAACAACTAGCGCGTTAAACGCTCGTACGTGTGACGGCGTTAGTTGTTCGTGCTATGTCGGGTCGAAGGATCTTCCTGACAGAACTTTGGCCAGATCACTGCGCGGCCTCGCCCAGAAACTCAGTAATGGATCGCAACGCCGGGCCGACCTGTTGCGTGATCGTTGACCGCACGCGTTCCCCGCCCCGCCCCTCAGCTTCGTGGAGATCTACAACGAGGCCGTGCGCGACCTGCTCAAGCGGCCGACGCGGCGGAGAGCGGGGTCGAACCTGCGCGTTCGCGAGCACCCCGAGCGAGGGCCCTACGTGCAGGGTGAGCAGGCCCCGCGGCCTCGCGCCTCTCACCTCTCCTCCCGTCTCTGGCCTCCCGTGCCTGGTGATCGTCCTGTCTGCCATCTCGTCTCCTCGTCAGCAGGTCTCCCATTTTCTCTCTCTGACATATTCTTCTGCCCTCCTCGCCTTCTGTCTCCACCTCCCATCTCCCGTCTCCTGTTTCCTCTCACCCATGTTTTGTCTCCTGGGTCTGTCCCCTGTCCCCTGTCTGCTGCGTTGGTATCCGTCTTCATTCCTCGTCTCCTGTCTGCCGTCTCTCGTCACTCCAAGCTCCTGGGTGGCGTCTCCTTGTCTTTGGCCGTCCGTCGCCCGTCTCCCGTTCCGTCTCTACGGCCCCCATGCAGCATTCTGAGCGGTCGCCTGCCTAGCCCGCAGTGGCGCCCAGCGCCGCCAACTCGGTCGAAACACGTCGAGTTCTCAGCCATCGTCACCGTTGAGGCTCGTGGTTGTTCTCCACAGCGTCGAGGATGTCCCACGGCCGGCGGGAAGGATCCTCACTCGCGGTGTTTGTTGGTTTACCTGTCATGGACATTTCGCAATTGATTGCATCGCCTCGCAGGCAGTTGCTGACGGTGGTTCAGGTCTTCGCTCATGGTGCACAAACCCGTGGCAGATGCGGATACCTGATGCACAAATGGAAAATTAAAAACTCTCCGGCAGTAGTGGTGCGACCTGTGGTCATCCAGAACAGAGACCGCACGACGTGTAATGACGCAATGCCCCGACCCGCTGATTGGAAGCCTCCGCGGGGTTGACGCTGTCCCTGCTTCGTTGCGTGCGTGCTGCTCCCTCGCCAGGTCTCTCGCGTCACCTCGTGTCCTCCTACGACCCCGTGGCCAAACTCATCGGCGACGGCAACGCCAACAGGTCAGAGGTCGCTCTCACACGCCTACCGGTAGTAACCTATAGCACCTGTTATTGCTATTTACAAAAAAACATTTCTTCGTACGGAATTGTCTAAACGCAAGCAAAGGACGGCACAATCGAAGTTGGAAGTGACAAAGGAGTGTTAGCGCGTGCATTGAATCGAGCGCGGTTATTATTACTATTGAAAGAGATTGGGGAATGGGAACGATGGGGGCAGCGAATTCCAAAGTGGGGCAGTGTGAGGCAAGAAGCAGAATCGGGAAGTGTCGTGATCTGCAGAGTGGCGAGTGAGTGGACGAGCGGGATGAGTGAGTAGGTGAGGAGCGTGTGCTTGCCACCCGCTGCGTAGGTGGTCGAAAGCGGTGTGGATGTTGTGGCTTGGTGGTCGTCCACCCAACCATTGTTAACTTTTTATTTTAACATTTATATTTTACCAGGTAAGGCCCACTGAGCTGTACAGTTATTTTTTCAGAAGTCACCCGTCAACGAATGACAGCTCAACGAAGCGGGTTATCACCGTGTGGAAATGTATAGCAGTGGCCAAATGCTCTGAACACGTGACGTCGATTCTATATGTGGAGGGGAAAACCGGAGGACCCGGAGAAAAATACAAACAGACCGCGGGGGGCGAACACTCACACTCCAAGTATAGATCATGCAGACTCATTCCCGCTTGGCTTCCGAGGTGTTGCGAGGTCGGGTGGCTTGCTCGCAGGTGGGTTGCACGTGAATAAAATAATAAATTTGAATGCCCTCGAGAGCGCGAACCATAGACCGTGCACACTGTACACCACGCAGAGCACCTAAGGTGCTGCAGACCGAACGGCACGGACCGTGAGCGTCACACCACGCGCTGTAGAGGAAGGTTATTGAGTGCGTGTGTTTGCTTGTGCGCTTGTGGTGCAAGCCACCCACCCCCTCGTGTGCCGTGCCGGGCACTTCATAATTTGATGCTCGCCAACAGCACTTCTTTCCCCAAGAAGTCTGTTATGGCTGTATGGGGGATCTTTGCCTTTGTGTGCGCATGGGGAGCGGTAGTGTAGTGGTTAGAGTGCTGCGCTATGAACCCAGCCACCCGAAGTTTGATTCCTGGTCCTGGGCATCTCCCAGGTGGACTTGGCCTCAAATGAGTACCTGGGCTTGATGTGTAAACATCACAACTAAGGATACAAACACAGCCAGGCATGATATGGTACTGGGCACCCATACTAACAGTTTGTTAAGGCTATACGGGGGATCTCTGTGTGCGTGTGTGTGTGTTTATGAGGAGTGGTAGTGTAATTGTTAGCGCGCTGCGCTACGAACCTGGTGACCCGAGTTCGATTTCCGCTCACGGCCACCACCAAGGACGATTGTCTGAACTGGTCCTGGACCTCCTCTAGGTTGGCTCAGCCTCAAATAAGTACCTAGTGCAGTGTGTAAATATAACAACTAGGGAGACAAAGGCGGCTGGGTGTGGTGTTGGCCACCCGCCCCCTCGTGTGCCGTGCCGGCCTTCAGAGGTGCTCGCTAACAGCACTTGCCCCAACAGTCTGTCAAGGCTATACGGGGGGATCTTTGTCTTTGTCTGCCTCAGGATGATCGCGAGCACCCACGTGCACGAAGCCAGCAGCCGCTCCCACGCCATCTTCACCCTCCACTTCACCCAGGTTAGCGCGGTTGTCCGTGTACGGTGCGAAAGAAGTTCAGCGTAGACACAGGCGCGCCCGCTGCTCCCGGGAGGCCTCGCATCGCGCCCAGTGGCGGTGGCTGTCGAGTGCATTGGCGGCGCGACTGCACCGGGGCCCGCGGCTCGGAGGTTCTCAGGCCCCGGGGCTACGAAGTGCAGGGAAGGCCGGGGGGGGGCGAGCACCGGCGGTGGGGGCTGGAGGTGCGCCGGCTTTGGCGTAGGCAGTGTAGGAATCTGCCGAGTCTGGTGGCAGGTCAAAGTTGAAACTCGGGAGGGTCAAGTCCTGCGGTCGTGCGGCCGCGGTCGGAGGGCGCGCGTCACGCGACTTGCTCACGTGACACAGAGACGACTCGGCCGATGGCGCGTGCAGCACGCGGAGACGAGCGGTGAGAGGGGGGCAGCGGTGGACCATGGTTGGGGGGGGGGGGGCGGAGGAGGCCCCCTTTAATTCCTGGCAGGCAGGGCCCATGCCAACCGCGCCAGCGCCGCGGGTGGCGCTGGGAGATTCTCACGGCGTGCCTTTGTTGCAGCGGCGGTTGAAAGCGTGCCACTGGGACGCGGGCAAGTTTTAGCGGCGGGGACGGATTTGACGGCGATGCTGTATCCGTGTCCGCACCTCCCCGCCTCCGTCTTGTGTGCTGCTTCAGTTTTTCCCATTGTAAGTGGAGATCGCCGATCACCCCGGGTTCTCGCTCGGGCATGTTCACTCGGTCGATGGTCTCAGCCAAGCAGCCGAATGACTCCACTAAAAAAAAACCGTCAAATTTTTGGCTTGGCAAAGATTAAAACAGACAAATCAGATGCGTCGTGATATTCTTATAGGAGTTTGTTAGAAATATCCAGAACTCAAAAAGCAAAATTAAGCCATGTATAGATAGTGTCCTTGGAATTCTGTCGAAATACTCAAAACTCAAGATAACTGAAATGACATTTTCAACGTTCTTAGGATTCAGTGGCAACACTTAGGACTCGGATAACCAAAGTGATACCTATAGGATGTCGTGATTCAATTATGAACAAGCAACCACATTTAAAGAAGCCCAAAGAATCTACTGGGCGAGTGGGAGGAACGGCTTGCGCCAGACCCAAATAAAACAAAATGATAAACTAAACTATTTTATATAATAATAATAATTGTTTTTTACCCTTTTATCTGGCAACAAAACTGACACTTTTTTTACAAGGAGGCGTGTTTGCATCGACCACAATACCTGCGGTCGGAATGCAAACAAAAAACACAACTCTGATAATGTATGCACTGTCCTTGAAATTGATTGGTCCACACCCGAGACAGCTTTTCTTAGAGCCTCGTCTCACGTGGTGTTGGACCAGATGACGCCAAAAGGCGCAAAAAAGGTGTCAGTTTTGTTGCCGGATAAAAGGGTAAAAAACCAATTATCATATTTTGTTACTGGCAAATGAGGTTTCCAATGGTGTAAATGCTTACCCCGAGCTCTCATACTCTGATGGTGCATTGTCTTTGAGTTGTGCACCTGTTGGCGTCATCTGGTCCAACACCACGTGAGACGAGGCTCTAAAAGCTGTCTCGGGTGTGGACCAATCAATTTCAAGGACAGTGCCACATACATTATCAGAGTTGTGTTTTTTGTTTGCATTCCGACCGCAGGTATTGTGGTCAATGCAAACATGACTCCTTGTAAAAAAAGGTGTCAGTTTTGTTGCCAGATAAAAGGGTAAAACACCAATTCTCATATTTTGCTGCTGGCAAAGGAGGTTCCAATGGTGTAAACTATTTTAATATACCAGGTAAGGCCCAATGAGCCGCTATGTAGCTATTTTTTAGAAGTGACCTTGCTGCCACAAATGATAGCTCGACGAGGTGGCTTATCGCATGGAAATTTACAGCGGCCAAAATACTCTTAAACGCGTGATGTTGATTCGAAATGTGGAGGGGAAAAACCAGAGGACGCAGATAAAAATCCACACGACCACGTAGAGAGAGACACGCAAACTACAATTATACAGCAGGCGTCAGGGCCGGAATCGAACCCACGACCTCTTTCATACCAGGCGAGGTAGTTAACATCTCGCCACCGTGGCGCCCCTGACGTGCCCAGGATTCATGAAACGTCCAAGGCTCGAGCAACCAAAACGCAACTGAATAACATCATCAAGGAATTCGGGGGGGGGGGGGGGGGGGCGGGCGGGAGAAACGGCTTGCGCCAGCCCCCGCAGGATGCCCTGTTTTTCCTCCCCTGGCCGCTGCAGCGCCAGCACGCGGAGCCACACGAGGTGCGCGGGGGCCTCCCGAGTGCCTTCAACTGGAGGGGCGCCCTCCACAGCGCCGGCGGCCGACGGCTGTTGAGCTCGCGCCAGGGCGGGCGCGATCGCCCGCAGCTGAGGATCCGTTGCGCTGAGTGGCAACTCGATAGGCGGCGGCTGCTCCCTCTTATCAGTGCCGCCCCACGGCCCCTGACAAGCCCGGGCTTGCACTTCGGGCTTGCACTTCGCACGCGCGAGAGAGAGAGGGGGGTAGAGCCCCTTCCTCCCTACCCCCCGCCGTTGACCGGGCCCCACTAGCGGGAAACAAGCGTGGTGGTTCGAGCGGGCAGTGTTAAGGTTGATGCGTGCAATTCGTGCGTCGAATCGCCGCGCATTACAATTGATTGTAATTCGTGTGAAGGATATCGCTTATGTGTAGAAGTCACTATTTGAGGCTACTGCAACGAACAGGCCGGAGCACACAAGATGAAAATATATGACACTCTGTTTGGCATTTGACTTGATTATGGTATGTAAAGCTGGTGAACTGCCATCAGCTAACAAATAAACAACTTAACAGATAATGGGATGTTTCATTGCTAAAAAGAATTATGCTTTAGTTCATCGACTTCTGGGCCGTCTGGACCAATGCTTTCCAGTAGCATTTCCTTATTAAGCGGCAAAAAACCCTGCACCGGTTTCAACTTTCGAGGTCTCATGAGATCGGTTTGTTATCGTACTCAAGAATTTTCACTTCGAGATTTCATCTGGCCCTCCCAGACCCCCTCCATCCCCTTGGGAATGGTCCCATTGTCCTTGTTCGCAATTTATGTGCCGGCCTCAGAGGCAGATTGGAAGAGGCACCTGTTGACAGTAGCCCGAGGCCCTCCGGATCGGTGCGTGAAGAAGCATGGATTCGGAGAACCACACGCAGTTTGGATGCAAATGGGTACTGACCGTTAAGGAATGGTAGGCGGGCGTGCGGCAGGACACGTCCACAGAGAAGGGATTATGACCAGTGGGTGAGGCTCTGAATCTGAATCTGAATCTTTATTTCTCCTGGAGAAATCCGATGGGCTACGAAGCTCTTTTTCACGGACGTCCAGTCGGGGCGGGTCAGAAAGTTACAAGAACAAACAGTACAACAACAACGAAAACGATCGGAGTGCAAAGTGTAGGGAAGGAAAAAGCAAATCACGTGCTTAAACTAATGACGGAGTGGTGGCCAAAGAGAGGGTGGAGCGATGAGCTCAGCCCGATTGCAGGATCGTTCGCGGTGACGACACCTTGGCGAGGCCTTCATCCAGCAGGGGATAGACCATGGCCCCGCAGCGGCGACGACGACGATGAAGATCGGTGACCGCCGTTGCTGACTGCCCTTGCCTGGGCGATGCTGCTGTCTAGCGTAAATGACGAATTTGTGAAAGTCGGGAAATGAGACAGCGGGAGGCACACGGGGCCCCACCCTCTCGGCACACAATGAGGGCGGCCTCAGCAGCGGAGGCACCTGGCACTGGGGCGCCGATGGCCGCCACCCTCGTGCTTTAAAGGGCCCCTGAGAACAAAAGGGCGCACGCCCGGAGGTGTTCACTGCGGTGTATGAGCACATTCCTGCGTACATCCCGATAGCTAGAGCTGCCTGATAGTCTAGGCCGTCTTATCAGTCCGTCCGTCCGTCGGTCGGTTTCACCGTCTTCAAGATTCTCCATGGACTCGCCCCTGCCTGCCTCTCATCCCGCTCTGTGCTCCCCTCCACACTGTGTCCGCTCCAGCAGCCAAGGTTTTCTCTGTCGGAGTTCCCAGTCAACCTTCATTCAGTGGGGGGTCACTTATGCTCTTATGCTGCTGCCCCCCCAATTGTCTGGAACATCTTTTCCCCCCGGCCATCTATTCTGCTCCTCCTCCACCGCCCTCCTCTCCTCTGCCCGTAAGGATCGTGAATTTAAGAACCGTTCAGTGCCGCGGCCTACTCAATCCGAGACGCATCGTAGAGCTCGGCACCGAGCATTTGATGGAAACATCCCGTACTTTATGGAGACAATTTAAGAGTAAACTAATCAGTGTCCCTAAGGGCGGCGGAAGTGAACACGACGGCCCAGCGTGCCGGGCTGCTTTGTTTCCCATCCCTCGGGCTCATTAAACCGAGCCTGGCCAAACTAGTCCCGAACTCCGTGGAATGCCTCCGTAGTCCCGTTGTGCCCCGCTGTGCAATGGGGTCTCAAGCCAAAGGAGCTGTTGCTGCCGCAGGTTCCTTTATTTCCTGGGCGGCACGTGAGTGGGCCCCCCCCCCCCCCCCCGGCTGGGTGGCCGGTGTACGGAGCCAATTGTTAATGAGCGGGGAGTTGGCGACCCTAGGGCTTGGGTGGAGATCCTCTTCATCTGAGCCTAAACGATGGGGATCAGGGAAGTAATGAGCCGAGTGCCCCCCCACCCACCCCCACCCCACCACCGCCCCCCCCACCCCACCACCGCCCCCACCCAACCATCGCCCATCCCAAACACCGCCCCCCCCATCACCGCCCCCCCCACGCCACCGACCGCTGCCCCCCCCCACCCCACCACCGCCCCCACCACCCCACCACCGCCACCCCCCACCCCACCACCGCCCCACCCACCCCGCCCCCACCCCCCCGTTTGCCCTAATGACAGGATGCGTGGACCACGATTTTAATGTAAAAGCTGGCATGCAGATACCGGGCCTCGGCCGAGAAGCCTCGCTAATAGCGGGCGTGCGGCGAGTAGCCGAGTAAAAACGGATCCTCGACGCGAACGCTGCAGTACCTTGCAGTCGTATCGGGGCTGTGAGAATCGACTACCTCTCCGTGCAAAATCGATGCAACCGTTTTAATTCAGAGCAATGTTCGGGATGAATGAGACGACGCTACTTGGGGCAAATGAGATGGTCCAGATGAGACGGCGCTTACAAGACGGAATAGATGATGAGGTTTCTGGACAATAGCCTCTACGTACCGGTGTCTGATGGAGTCTTAAAGATCCATCACTCCAGTGACGTGCAGTGAGGTCAATGGCTGGGGAGGCACTGGCTAGTGTCAGAGCCAGATTCACACTCTGAGGGGGGCGTGGCCTCGCGGAGGGAGGCGTGGCCTCACTGAGGAGGGCGTGTTAGACACGTCCCCCTCAGTGAGGCAGATGTGATAGCTGCCTCCCCTGGTGCTTTTTCATTGCAGTTTCATGACGAGACCAGCGAGCCTAAATATCTTTATACACATACATGAAATAAGTTACCTGGAGTATGGAAGGCGAGGACATGAAATGAAGGGGTCTACAAACATGACATTGGTGACATACTGAGATAGTAACAGGCACGTGCTTATTGCCCGCGCTCCATCCAGTTACTGAGGGGTTGCGCAATCAGAGGGGAGGCTGATCCCGTCACTGCCACACCTCTCGTCTCTTCCTGTATTTGCAGCGGAGCTCCGCAAATTTGGCGATTTTGACTCTAAAAATGATTGGAATCGTACAGAAATGACATAACACAGATCAGTGGAAAAATCTTAATATTTATTTTATTTTATTATCCTTTTTTTTTACTTTTCGTAACAGCTATTTTCATTGGAGTATGACAGGTGAGGCTCTGCCTCCCCTGACCGCACGTCCCTGTATCACCCCTGCCGTCGAGCTCCAGGGGCTATTCCCCACGTCTCTGTGTGTGCGGCACAGGCGTCGTGGCGATGTCACCGTCACTTAGTGGCGAATGGCGGCGGGTATTGGCATGGAGAGGCCAGGACTTCGGGTTTCGCTTTATGTACCTTCAGTCTTCATGCTTGAAGACTGAAGGTACAAGGACCTTCACGAGGGTGTGTGCAGGCCTGTGTAAGGCTACGTGTGCAGGAGCTCAATCTCTTACTCGTGCTCATTTATCGTGTGTTGAGATTGTCTTTAAACTCACGGAGCTTCAGTTTAACAGGGGGCAATAATCAAACCAGGCGGCGTGACCTTCAAAATGGCTTGAATGATGAGTGACACCCAATGTGCGTGTGTATTCAACAAGCATTTCCCATGTAGCCTCTGTAGACCATGGGAGCAAGCGCCGGTAACGAGCGCCTCCTGAGGCCGGCGTGGTGCGGAGACATCGGCGTTGGGGGGGGGGAAGAAGGCGACCAGACGTTGTTCTGGCTACACCGCCACCCCTTTGGCTAACGGTGTTTGTCCCCGAGAGTCGCTCAAACGCTGTGCCGAGGGAGGTGACGGGGGGGGGGGGTCGTTGTCTTGATTGTTAAGTGTGCATGGGTCTACTTGTGAGTGTGTCTATGTGTGTAATTGCAACGGAAAGCGGTTGCGCAATGGTTAGCACGCTGCGCTACGAACCCGGCGACCCGAGTTTGATTACCGCTCACCACGGCCAATACCGGTGATGATTATCTGAACCGGTCCTGGGCCTCCCCTAGGTTGACTCAGCCTCAAATGAGTACCTGGTCCGATGTGTAAACATCGCCACTGGGGAGACAAAGGCGGCCGGGCGTGGTGCTGGCCACCCACCCCCTCGTGTGCCGTGCCGGCCTCCATAGTCGCTCGCTAACAGCACTTGCCCCAACAGTCTGTTAAGGTTATATGGGGGGGGGGGTGACCTTTGTCTTTTGTTTGTGTGTAAATGCAGGCCAGCTTGCACAACAACCTGCCTTCAGAGATCGTCAGCAAGATCAACCTCATTGACCTGGCGGGAAGGTCAGTAAACTGCGTCCAATTCCGATTCCCCCTGCTAAATATGCGATTAATACTCGCGAATGCCTCCTTCCTTACGGGAACATTTTATTTGTATTATTTTTTCCAGTCCTTTTAGGCCGTTGGGCCACAATCGTTTTTTTTCTCTCTCCGCTTGTTTACCCAGGACAACCTCACTTCACAGGAGGGTCCTGCCAAGTTTTCACAGTGGGGGAGAAATGGTTGCTGGGTAAACTCCAGTGGAGTAAATTTGCTGCGTCGTTTTCGAATTTGGAGAATGTGGCAAAGGGGGGAGGTCCCATGATACGTCGAGGGATCTCTAACACCTGTGGTTATTATGAATATTACGGTATTAATCAGGGTGGCCCGTGGATTCGAACCGTGATCCTCTGCAGCCAGCGGCGTGCGTGCCTCCGCCGGGGGGCTCCACGTTCCCTTCGCTGCCGTCCCCTGGCAGTGGTCGTTCCACGTCCGATTTGTCCGTCGCTGCGTCTATCAGCCAGACGGCTGTAACGATACGAACCCGGCGGTCCAAGTTAGATTCCCGCTCGCGGCCAAGTCCAGTGACGATTATTGGAACCGGTTCTGGGCCTCCCCGAAGTCGACTAAACATCGTCACCGGGGATGGCGAAGGCGACCAGGACCTGGTGCTGGCCACCCACCCCCCTCGTATGCCGTGCCGGCCTTCATAGGCGCTCGCTTTACAGCACTTGCCCCAACAATCTGTGAAGGCAACGTGGACGCTACATTTCAAGCGTCCGCTTCGTCCGTTGCTTTGACCGTCGCTGCGTCTGTCAACTGAGACGGCCGCAACATCACGTCGCTTCCATGGAAAGTATTCCGCATTGCGGAGACCATGAAGAAGCTGGAAATCCCGTAGCTCGCGAATCCGCCCGGACATAGCGTTGGCAGAACTCCTCCGCCAGCAAAATGCAATGCCGAGAAGACGCCGCCAAACACAAGCCTGCGGTTGATTGATCCTCACACCGGGGCGCAACGCTGGCCTTGGTTCAATGCTGCCACAAGCACGATAGGAAAAAAATGCCACATCCAGACTTATGTTTTAAGAACGGAAACATATTTATCGGCATCGTCATTCGCAGCACCATTAGTATGGAATCGGCATCATCATCATCTGCAGCAGCAACAGCATCATCAGCAGATGCAGCAGCAGCAGCTTAGCAGCAGAATAATCAGCAGCAAACGAATCATCAGCAGCATCATCCCTTTCAGAAATGATTCCGAAGAGCGATTCCCAGTTAACACAGCCGAAGCACCGCAATCGCTTGTTCCAGGGACAAGACGTTTAGGAACGGACAAACCACAGCAATTTAGCAAATCGTGGTTAAATACTTTTCAGAGGTGACAAGAACCCCCCCCCCCACCCCCGAACAACTGAAAGAGCGCTGAAGGCAATAGATGGCCGTGCCTTTGCCAGCGTCCCGGTTGTTACGTGGGATGCATGCCGCTGGGGAGTGCATCGTAAATTACATGGCCGACTGGCGTAACAATCAATATTGGTTTGCTTCTTGTTTGTCGAAGGCATTTGCTTACAGACTCGGTAGCGTCCCCCCCGCCCCCCCGACCACCACCACCACCTCCTCCTCCTCCTCCACACATCGCGCCTTAGCAACCGAAAGCTTCGACCCCAATCGCCCGGCACCCACCAACTGTGCAAACAGACGCGGTAATTCTGTTAGGTGCCGGGGCAGTAAAACTTGCCTGGAGTTGAAAGTTCTGGGAGGAGGAGGAGGAGAGAGGGAGGGAGGGATGAGGATGAGGGTGGCTTGGGTCGAGCAATTGCTTGTGTTGGAGAGCCGGACCTGCACTCACTGCCAAGAGGCCTAGGTTTGAGTCCGGGTTTTCGGCCAGCTGTGGCTGGACCTGGTTCTCTCGCGCGTTCGCGAGGTGGCGGTTTCCACTCCCGTCACGACGCTTGTACGGGTAGTTCAGCATCGATTGGTTCGTCGGTCCAAATGGATTCCCACATTCACAGACACATGCGTCTGTTACATCTACCATGTGGGACAATCAGTACGCTTCGTGGGTTGTGCAAACTGAGACGTGAATGTTCCTGTCAGGCTACTGGTATCGGCGATAATGCCTGTACAGACAAGATCAAACAAGAAACACTGCAAATGAGACGGTCAAAGCGAAACAGAAGCTGAATCTTGAATTACATTGAATCCAGGCCACAGCTGACGTAGAGAAGGGATACCTGTGATCTGGTCTTAAGATGTCCCCCTGCGGTAAACCCACACTGGCCTGCGTGGTGAAGTATGGTCGAATAACCAAAGTGACCGTCATGCAATACGAACCCGGGCACCACAGTGGTGAGATGCTAACTCCCTCGCCTGGTATACAGGAGGTCGTGGGTTCGATCCCGACCCTGATGCCTGTATATTTGGAGTTTGGCATGTCTCTCTCCCCGTGGTTGCGTAGATCTTTTCCAGGTCCTCCAGTATTTCTCTGCACATTTAGAATCCACGTGCGTTCGGAGTATTTGGCTGCTCTACATTTCCACGTGCTGAGCCACTTCGTTGAGCCATCATTTGTTGGCCAGGTCACTTCTGAAAAAGAGCTAAAAGCTCTCAGTGGGTCTTACCCGATAAAATTAACATAGTAGTAGTTAGCACCTCAGTTCGATTCCTGCTCACGGCCAACACCAGTGACGATTATCTGAACCATTCCTGGGCCTCCCCTAGGTCGACTCAACCTCGAAGTTAGCACCTGCGCATTTGTGATGGACAGGACTCATTAGAGTGTGTGATGAGAGATGCTCACTCGCTTACGAGGCAACGAGGGAGACAAAGGTGGCCCCATCTCATCCCGTGCCGACCTTCAGCGGCACTTGCCCCAACAGTCTGTTAAGGCCAAACGGGTGACCTTTGTCATTGGAGGCCTTCGTCCAGCAGTGGATTGACGAAAGGATGTAAATGAATATTAATTTAGTGCTCTATATTAGGCTCGTAACGGCTCGCTCCCCAGCGGTTCCATTGCCATGTGTTCGGAAAGCTGTGATAGCAACCCGGCGATCTGTTCTTGCTTTGATGTTTGCCTTCTCATTTGTATCATTTGTCATTATTTACATCTCGTCTCTCCATTTTATTTGCTCCTTTTTAGCGGAAAATTTCCACAAAAGCGTGGAATACGAAAGCGTCTGTCGCGAGTGCGAGAATCGATGATATTTAACAATCGATGGGTCCATGCATCGCTGCGTGCCAGATACATAGTCGGTGTAAAAGTATGCACGCAGCGTACACGTAAACTTAACGCACGCGTGCCAGCTCACCAAACCGGCATTTAACGCACATTAATTTACCTTTTAGTGTCAACGATTAATAAACTTTGAGGGCCCGACCGTCTTTACGTTGAAATCTACTGAGAGATGCGACCACCAACCGACCCCACCAGCCCATCGCAAATGCGGCATCGCCGCCACTTCATTGGCATCCGCTCTTAGGGATCCGTCGAGTGTTTGTTGAAAGTACGCGTTCGATCCAGCGTGTCGTTGGAGTAACGTGCACAGATTTTTTTTAAAAGAAATTATTTGGTGCTGCTGTTGTTGCTTTGACAGTTGGTGCACACAATCACCGATGAATGATAATAGGAAAAACTCAGCACATTCATCGCAAACGCTGTGTGGCCTTGACATAAGAATATATAATAGGCGACGTTTTGGGCAATGGCCCTTCTTCGTAGCACTTGAATTATCTGCGAAATGAATAATTTATGCACTATGAAGAAGGGCCATTTCCCGAAACGTCGCCTATTATATATTTATTTTCCCTTTTCATGCCACACACAGTGTTCTTGACCAATGCGTTGAGTGTTTTTTTTCCTCCCCTTTCACAGATTTAAGGCGCTTTGAGTTGACGGTGCCTGTGTTGCACTGACCCCTAGTGGTCAATGCTGGGAATTGGCACCAATACCAACACGTGGGTTGAGGTGGCTCTGTTGTCACAACTTGCCTTGCGAGTCTCAGCGGTGACAGAGTCGCTCATCAGCTGGTCCAAGTGTCGCTCAATAAATATGCACTCGGAGCGGCCTCTGCGCAGCACGTGGTCCCCTCAATGAGACGGGACAAGGGTTCTCTACCGTATCGCACAACCTGTGCACGGGGGCCATATTCACAACGCTGAACCGAGTTCCTGTAGATTGCCCCCCCACCCGTTCAACTCGTGACAATGCCTGCAGCGGCGCATAGCGTAAACACCGTGCTGGCCACCCACCACCTCGTGTGCCGTTCGGGCCTTCGTAGGTGCTGCTCACTAACAGCACTTGCCCCAACAGTCTGTTAAGGCTACACGGTGGGATCTTTGTCTTTGTGTGTTGGTGTGCATTGACAGCGAGAGAGCGGACCCCAACTACAACAAGGACCGCATCACCGAGGGCAGCAACATCAACCGCTCGCTGGTCACCCTGGGCAGCGTCATCTCTGCCCTGGGTCTGTGACTTACCGCGCAGAGACAGCACAAAGGGCGCGGAGCCAGCTCCCAAGCACCATCCACCTTCAAGCAGCAGCTCCAGGCCCTCACCTGATCAGTCTCTCGCCCGTCCAGGCCCTCGCCCGTCCAGGCCCTCACCCATCCAGTCCCTCACCTGTCCAGGCATCAGTCTCTCACCCACCTAGGCTCTCGCCTGTGCAAGCTCTCGCCCGTCCTGGCCCTCACCTGTCCAGGCCCTCGCCCATCCAGGCTCTCACCTGTCCAGGCCCTCACCTGTCCAGGCATCAGTCTCTCGCCCATCCAGGCCCTCACCTGATCAGTCTCCCGCCCGTCCTGGCCCTCACCTGATCAGTCTCCCGCCCGTTCTGGCCCTCACCTGTCCAGGCCCTTACCTGTCGAGGCTCTCACCTGTTCAGGCCCTCACCTGTTCAGTCATCAGTCTCTCACCCATCCAGGCCCTCACCCATCCACGCTCTCACCTATCCAGGCTCTGATCTGTGCAGGTCCTCACCTGTTCAGTCATCAGTCTCTCACCCATCCAGGCCCTCACCCATCCACGCTCTCACCTATCCAGGCTCTGATCTGTGCAGGTCCTCACCTGTTCAGTCATCAGTCTCTCACCCATCCAGGCCCTCACCCATCCACGCTCTCACCTATCCAGGCTCTGATCTGTGCAGGTCCTCACCTGTTCAGTCATCAGTCTCTCACCCATCCAGGCCCTCACCCATCCACGCTCTCACCTATCCAGGCTCTGATCTATTCAGGTCCTCACCTGTTCAGTCATCAGTCTCTCACCCATCCAGGCCCTCACCCATCCACGCTCTCACCTATCCAGGCTCTGATCTATTCAGGTCCTCACCTGTTCAGTCATCAGTCTCTCACCCATCCAGGCCCTCACCCATCCACGCTCTCACCTATCCAGGCTCTGATCTATTCAGGTCCTCACCTGTTCAGTCATCAGTCTCTCACCCATCCAGGCCCTCACCCATCCACGCTCTCACCTATCCAGGCTCTGATCTGTGCAGGTCCTCACCTGTCCAGGCCAGCACACGAATGACTGAGCTCTGGCTCCGCAACTCCGAATTCTCCATTGGACATTGCGTCTGCATCGTGAAGCTTTGAGCGCTTTGTAAATGGTGTTTATCGTCAATAGCGTTAATTGTGCATGGCGATAACGGGGATTGAGTTAGGAAAGCAGATGCACGGTACGTCACGGGCAAGCGGCCTTTTCGAGGACATGCTGTGTGCGGGCTGATTCGGGTGTGATGTTATCTTCCTCGGCTGGTATGCAGGAGGTCGGGGGTTCAATCCCGACCCTGACGCCCGCTGTATATTTGGAGTTTACCTGTTCTCCCGGTGGTCGTGTGCATTTTTTTTCTCCGGGACCTCCGGTTTTTCCCTCCACATTTAGAAACATTGCAGTGAGAATATTTAGATAATTTTGCTGCTATACATGTCCAAATGATGGGCCACTTTATTGAGCTATCATTTGTGGCCAGGTCGCTTCTGAAATATAAGTTTGGGATGGTTTAGTTTAATTTGTACGTGTTTGTGTGATTTCTTTACCTTTCTTGTACTTTGCACTATTATGTTTTTGCATTGTTGTTGTTGTTGTAACGTTCTTACCCGCCCCTCCTGGACGTGTGTGAAAAGGAGCTTTATAGCTCATCGGATTCCTCCAGCGTAAAACCAATATTCTGATTCTAACAGCGCCGCCGCCTCCGTCTCCCCCCAAATGCCCTCCCGGCACAGCGGAGAATGCAGCTTTGGGTGGCGGCTCCGGCGTCGGCGCCGGCGCCGGAGGCGACGCGTGGGGGACGGCGCTGAGCGAGCCGGAGTCGGGCAAGCTGAGGGGGCCGTCCGCCGGTGGGGGGCGATCCAGGACGGGGGGCCCCGCGCGGAGGGGGGGCCGCCTGTGCCACGTGCCCTACCGGGACTCGGTGCTCACGCGACTGCTCAAGGACAGCCTCGGCGGGAACTCGCGCACCGTCATGATCGCCAGTGAGTGGTCGTGGGGTGTGTGTGTGTGTGTGGTAGTGGTGTGTGTGTGTGTGTGGTAGTGGTGTGTGTGTGTGTAGTAGTGGTGTGTGTGTGTGGTAGTGGTGTGTGTGTGTGGTAGTGGTGTGTGAGTGTGTGTGTAGTAGTGGTGTGTGTGTGGTAGTGGTGTGTGTGTGTGTAGTAGTGGTGTGTGTGTGTAGTAGTGGTGTGTGTGTGTGTGTGTAGTAGTGGTGTGTGTGTGTAGTGTGTGTATGTGTAGTAGTGGTGTGTGTGAGTAGTAGTGGGGTGTGTGTGAGTGGTAGTGGTGTGTGTAGCAGTGTGTGTGTAGTAGTGGTGTGTGTGTGTGTGTGTAGTAGTGGTGTGTGTGTAGTGTGTGTATGTAGTAGTGGTGTGTGTGTAGTAGTGGGGTGTGTGTGAGTGGTAGGGGTGTGTGTAGCAGTGTGTGTGTAGTAGTGGTGTGTGTGTAGTAGTGGTGTGTGTGTGTAGTGTGTAGTAGTGGTGTGTGTGTGTAGTGTGTGTATGTAGTAGTGGTGTGTGTAGTAGTGGTGTGTGTGTGTAGTAGTGGTGTGTGTGTGTGTAGTAGTGGTGTGTGTGTGTGTAGTAGTGGTGTGTGTGTGTAGTAGTGGTGTGTGTGTAGTAGTGGTGTGTGTGTGGTAGTGGTGTGTGAGTGGTAGTGGTGTGTGTGTGTAGTGTGTGTATGTAGTAGTGGTGTGTGTGTAGTAGTGGTGTGTGTGAGTGGTAGTGGTGTGTGTGTAGTAGTGGTGTGTGTGGTAGTGTGTGTGTAGTAGTGGTGTGTGTGTGTGGTAGTGATGTGTGTGTGGTAGTGGTGTGTGTGTAGTAGTGGTGTGTGAGTGGTAGTGGTGTGTGTGTGTAGTGTGTGTATGTAGTAGTGGTGTGTGTGTAGTAGTGGTGTGTGTGAGTGGTAGTGGTGTGTAGTAGTGTGTAGTGGTGTGTAGTAGTGTGTAGTGGTGTGTGTATGTAGTAGTGGTGTGTGTGTAGTAGTGGTGTGTGTGTGTAGTAGTGGTGTGTGTATGTAGTAGTGGTGTGTGTGTAGTAGTGGTGTGTGTGGTGTGTGTGTGTGGTAGTGGTGTGTGTGTGGTAGTGGTGTGTGTGGTAGTGGTGTGTGTGGTAGTGGTGTGTGGTGGTGTGTGTGGTAGTGGTGTGTGTGGTAGTGGTGTGTGTGGTAGTGGTGTATGTGTAGTAGTGGTGTGTGTGTAGTAGTGGTGTGTGTTTGTGAGTGTGAGTAGCGCGCTGCGCTACAGACCTGGTGACCCAGATTCGATTCCCGCTCACGGCCAATATCAGTGACGATTTGCTGAACCGGTCCTGGGCCTCCCCTAGGTCGGCTCAGCCTCAAATGAGTACCCGGTGCTATGTGTAAATATCGCCGCTTGGGAGACAAAGGCGGCCGGGCGTGTGTTGGCCACCCACCCCCTCGTGTGCCATGCCGGCCTTTGTAGGTGCTCGCTAACAGCACTTGCCCCTACAGTCTGCTAAGGCTATACGGGGTATCTTTGTCTTTGTAGTAGTGGTGTGTGTGTATGTGGTAGTGGTGTGTGTGTGTTTATGACGGTGCCAGCAGTGGTCCTGGCAGTGGAGGTAGCTGCAGCAGCGGTAGTGGTTTGGTTGCTGTGGTGGCAGTGGCGGTGTTGGTGGTGGCGGTGTTCATGGTGGTGGCGGTGTTGGTTGTGGTGGTGTTGGTGGTGGCGGTGTTGGTGGTGGCGGTGTTCATGGTGGTGGCGGTGTTGGTTGTGGTGGTGTTGGTGGTGGTGGAGGCAGCGGTGGTGGCGTTGAAGGTGGTGCTGGTAGTGGTGGTGGCGGTCGTGTTGGTTGTGGCATTGGTGTTGGTGGTGGCGGCGGCAGTGTTGGTGGTGTTGGTGGTGTTGGCAGTGGCGGTGGTTGTGCACTCCCGGGGCCTCAGTGTCCACCTCTGCTCGTTGCAGCTGTGTCCCCGGCGTGCAGCTCGTACGGGGAGACGATGAGCGTCCTGCGCTACGCAGCGCGCGCCAAGAACATCGTCAACCGACCCAAGATCAACGAGGTGCGATCCCTCTCACCGTGCCAACCCGGCACCACCGAGATCCTGGGTTCCATTACGGCGTTTCGGCCACTGCCCATGGTCGAACCGGGTTCTCGCGTAACCCGAGTTGATGGTCCCAGCCTGGTCATCAACGATGACACGAACAGCCCATGGCATTCAGTTTGGAGCATTCCTTCATTGAGATAAATTTCATCTCTGAGTAATCGCAGTGGCTGAGCGGGCGGGTGAGAAAGTGTTGCTGCTGCTTGCTGTGTGGACCAGTGGTTTGCTTGAAGGGATCTCAAGAGGTGGCTCTATGGTGTCCACTTGTGCAGGCCGTGACATGACACCGGTCACACAATTGGGATAAAATTAAGGAAAAAGACTGCGACAAAACGTGGAAAAAAGCTTTCCTGCCCGCTGTTACCTACCTGGGCGTCACGGTGGCGAGATGTTAACTACCTCGCACGGTGTGCAGGAGGTCGTGGGTTTGATCCAGACTCTTGACGCCTGCTGTATATTTGAATTTTGCGTGTTCTCCCCGTGGTCGTGTGGATTTTTCTCCGGGTCCTCCGGTTATTCACCTACACAATTATCAACACGCGTTTAGGGTATTTCGCTACTGAATAGCTACTTTGTCGAGCTACCATCTGTGATCGTCAGGTCGCTTCCGAAGAAGAGCTATACAGCTCAGTGGGCCTTACCTGGTAAAACAAACAACAAAAGTGTTTGTTTAGTATCTCCTGCTGTGACGTGGACATTTGTTGAGACCCTCCCCCGTGCGGTACGGCAGTCGTGGGTGTGTAAGCTCACCATCGGAAGCGGCGATTTCAAGTTCTGCTTGGCGGTTGATTTGGTGGTCCATCACCCACCTGTCCAGTGCCGATTCAAATCGAGACTGGACAGGTGAAGTCAATGGCGGTTGTCCTATGGAAAGAACTTGTAGTGATTCTCCGGCCCCTTTAGCCATCCAGTCAAGCACTTGGACCTGAAGTTGCGTATGTGCGTGCGTATGTGCGTGCGTGCGTGTGTGCGTGGGGAGCGGTGGTCTAGCGGTTTGGAACCCCACTGCGCTATGAACCTGGCGACCCGAGTTCGATTCCCGCTCACGGCCAACACCAATGAGGATTATCTGAACCGGCCGGGGACCTCCCCTAGGTCGACTCAGCCTTAAATGAGTACATGGTGCTGTGTGTAAATATCACCACTGGGGAGTCAAAGGCGACCGGGGATGGTGTTGGCTACCCACCCCCTTCGTGTGTCGTCCCGGCCTTCATAGGTGCTACTTGCCCCAACAGTCTGTTATCTGTTTAGGCTTTACAGGGGATCCTTGTCTTTGTGCGTGTGTGAACGTACGTGGCTGCGACGCGCGTGTGCCCTCGCGCTGTGCAGGATCCCAACGTGCGGATCATCCGCGAGCTCCGACAGGAGGTGGACCGGCTCAAGGCCATGCTGCTGAGTGTGGAACCGGTCAGTGCGTGTTTTTGGCACGCATCACCATCATCATTGTCATTGGCGACAGCAGTATGTATGTTGAACTTCTTTCGCACCGTACGTAGCCAACCGTGCTCATCAGAGGTGCGGGGGAAGGACAACAAACTAAACACAACAAGCTGTTCTAAAGAAGTTAGTTTTCAATCTAAATTATGTAAAAGTGCATAGCTCCAGTGGCTTCCTAACCTCAGAAACTCAGAAAGAAGAGCGTTCCAGATGGCCGCAGAATATTATAACGATAATAATAACGTTTTATTTAAATGTTACCACGCTCATTGACGCCGGTGGCATCTCGGAGGGCTTCGCACGCGATGAGTGACTCGCATTGCATCTCGGCACACTTGAAAGGGCCACCCCCAGTGGCAGCTGTCCCTGTGTGGCCCAAGGCGACTCAGCGCCTGGCCTGTGAGTGGCCATTAGCCTGCCACTAGGGGGCGATGATTGCTATCTGTAATCCGGAATTTTAGTCATTTGTGGTATACAGTATTCTCTCGTTATTCGTGAGGGATACGTTCAGGAAATCCTCACAGATAACGATGTTGGCCTACGAAAAGGCATCTTTAATTTTTTTTTTACCTTAAATAAATACGTAAATAATCACTTGATCTCATCACTTTCTCTCTCGATGCAGTTGTGTGGAGTTCTCCAGATGCTATTCGCAGATAGCCAAAATTGTGGATCACAAGTTCTTGACTAACGGGGGAATACTGTGACGTTACGAATTGGGAAAGTATGGACCATAGCGCCGGCCCACAGTTGCCTACCCGGTTCGAATGACGTCAGGGGATCTTTAACGTCCACGTTGAAGCAGACGACGCGAAGTATTTTACTTGATAATACACACCGCAGTAATAACCAGGGCAGCCTGCTGGATTAGAACCGCGGACCTGTGCAATAAGCGTGTGACGGCGCTACTGCCACCACTTCTAGCAGCAGCGTTGTTATTGTCATCATCATCACCAGTAGCACTGTCATCATCGCTATCACGGGCAACGGCGGCAAGATCACCATCGTGATGATGAGCAGCAGTAGCCATAGTAACTGCATTATCATCATTGGCAACAGCAGCAGCACAATAATAATAATCATCATTATCGCCAGCTGCCGCAGTAAGTGTTGTCTCTTCTTTATTGGAAACAGCAATAAAATCATCATCGGCATCACCATCGTCACCATCATCATCAGCTACCGCAGCAGGAGCAGCATGCTGCAGCGTCACGATCGTCGTCACGATCGTCGTCACGATCGTCACCACGATCGTCGTCACGATCGTCGACGTCGTCACCTGAGCAGAGCGAGAGTTTGAAACCGGGCCCAGCAGGCTGCCTCTCACTCCCACCGTAGCCCAGGGCTCGGCAACCCGCGGCGGCTCTGGGGCTGCGTGACCCCATTATTTATTAAGGACCACCACCTTCACGTGTCCACCACAGTGCATTGCGGCTCTTGAAATGTGTTCTTACCGAATCGCGGCTCTCCTTACGACTTTGGTTTTGCCGACCCCCTTTGCCCTTAGAGGGACCTGGCGCCGTTGCTGAGCGAGGGAGAGCGCGACAGCAACCTGGCCGAGATGCTGCACGAGAACGAGATGAAGGCGAGCGGGGACGGGGTCCACCCTCCCCCCTCCTCCTCCCCCCCCCCCGCCTGTCTCTCCAGACGAGCCCCCACCACCACCACCCCCCCCCTTGTCACCAGCTCGCCCCACTCGCACGGTGCCCAGTCTGTTTCTGTGCCGCAGCCCCGAATGGAGCTGCGTTGCAATGAGTGAATGGAAGCCTCGTTCAGGCTTCTCGGCGGGGCGCCGCGGTGGCGAGATGTTAACGCCCTCGCCTGGTATACAAGAGGGCGTTCGTGGGTCCGATCCCAATCCTGACGATGCCTCTATGTTTGGAATTTGGGCGTCTCTCTCTCTCCGTGGTTGCGTGGATTTTCTGTCTGGGTCCTCAGGTTTTTCACCCCCACATTTAGAATCAACATCACGCGTTTAGAGTATTTGGCTGCTATAAATTTCCACGCGATAAGCCACTTCGTTGAGCTCTCATTCGTGATAGTCGGGTAACTTTCTGAAAAAGAGCTTCATAGCTCAGTGGTATCTTACCTGGTTAAAATAAAAAAAAATAGTTTAAGAGTTTTTAGGACAGGCTGCCACCGGCTTTCATTAGATTTGTAAACGGTTGAAACGTATGCTGCTCCTGCCCTCTAGCGGTGATGTAATAATAGTAGTAAATTATTAGCCCATTTGGTAATCCACTGCTGGATGAAGGCCTGGCCCTGTGCACGCCGTTCTGTGCGGGTTTGTGAAGGGGGGAGCACAGGACCGGTTCAGATATCGCGCACCGCTGGGGTTAGCCGTGGCCAGGAATGGAGCTCAATTATTAGGGTTCTTCGCACAGTGTGATCACCGCCGATATAATAATACTTTCTATCCAGTAATTTTTTTTTTTAACCTAGGTCAAACGTTATTGGACGTACATAGTTCACCATCAACACCATAGGTGATTGGTTCCACCAATCAGAATGAGCCCTCAAGACGAAAATGACGACAATTCCATGACGTACAGACTATATAAGATGTTATATATATTTATTTTATTTTCGCAGCAACCTCGCGTCAGAGAATAGCATTGTTAAGCCACTGCTGGACGAAGGCCTCTGATTAGCAGGGGTTGGTTACGTAGGGTATGAAAGAAGTTCAACATACAAAAAGAAGATAAAGATCCCCCGTGTAGCCTTAACAGACAGTTGGGGCAAGTGCTGTTAGCGAGCACCTGTGAAGGTTGGCACGGCACACGAAGGGGGTGGGTGGCCAGCACCACGCCTGGCCGCCTTTGTCTCCCTATTGGCGATGTTTACACACCGCACCAGGTTACTCATTTGAGGCTGAGTCGATATAAGGGAGGCCCAGAACCGGCTCGGATAATCGTCATTGGCGTTGGCCGTGAGCGGGAATTGAACTCGTGTCTCCGGCTTCGTAGCACATTGCGCTGATCGCTACACTACCGCTCCCCATACACAACAACAACCACCATTCGCCACTAAGTGGCGGTCGCGTCACTACGGCGCCTGTGCCAGGCTAGGTGCACGTTAAGGCCACGTGAAGTGTCGGAACACCCGCCGGCAGGAGGTCACGGGACAGACCCAGGTGCCACGGGTCGACTGACTGAGATGACTGGCCAGAGCTCCCCACGCACGCCCGCACGCACGCACGCTCGCGCGTTCAGGAGCCGACGTCATGGATCTACTTTTCAAAGTCTAATCGCCCCCCCCTCCGGGGCTGGGCGCAGGTGGAGCGGCTGACGCGCGACTGGTCGGACGGCTGGCGCGACACGCGGGCCCTGCTTGAGGAGCACACGCTGGGGATCAACCGCCTGCGTGCCGGCGTGGAGGTGGCGTCCCAGCTCCCGCACCTCCTCTCCACGGACGGGGACGTGCTGAGCACGGGCGTCACCATCAACCGTCTGCGGGTGCTTGCGCGCACGCACGCACGCACGCACGCACGCACGCGGAAACGCAGAGATAACTCCGCGCGTGTAGCCTCGACGTGCTCTTTGGGGGCAAGTGCTGTTAGCGAGCGCCTATGAAGGCCGGAATGGTGCATGAAGGGGTGGGTGGCCAGCAGCACTCCCCGCCGCCTTTGTCTCCCCAGTGGCAATGTTTACACATCCCACCGGGTACTCATTTGAGGCTGAGTCGACCTAGGAGAGGCCCGGGATTGGTTCAGATAATGGTCACTGATATTGGCCTCACATACACACACACACGCGTGTGCAAGTGTACACACACACATATACGCAGACACATATACGCAGACACGTATACGTATGCACACATGGGTACTCGGGCACAAACATGACGAGCACGGTTGGTTACGTACGGTGCGAAAGAAGTTCGCCTACATACATACAGTGAGGGAAAAAGTATTTGATCCCCTGCTGATTTTGTACGTTTGCCCACTGACAAAGAAATTATCAGTCTACAAAAAAATCCAGAAAAACGCATGTCAAAAATGTTATAAATTGATTTGCATTTTAATGAGGGAAATAAGTATTTGACCCTTCTGCAAAACATGACTTAGTACTTGGTGGCAAAACCTTTGTGGGCAATCACAGATGTCAGACGTTTCTTGTAGTTGGCCACCAGGTTTGCACACATCTCAGGAGGGATTTTGTCCCACTCCTCTTTGCAGATCTTCTCCAAGTCATTAAGGTTTCGAGGCTGACGTTTGGCAACTCGAACCTTCAGCTCCCTCCACAGATTTTCTATGGGATTAAGGTCTGGAGACTGGCTAGGCCACTCCAGGACTTTAATGTGCTTCTTCTTGAGCCACTCCTTTGTTGCCTTGGCCGTGTGTTTTGGGTCATTGTCATGCTGGAATACCCATCCACGACCCATTTTCTATGCCCTGGCTGAGGGAAGGAGGTTCTCACCTAAGATTTGATGGTACATGGCCCCGTCCATCGTCCCTTTGATGCGGTGAAGTTCTCCTGTCCTCTTAGCATAAAAACACCCCCAAAGCATAATGTTTCCACCTCCATGTTTGACGGTGGGGATGGTGTTCTTGGGGTCATAGGCAGCATTCCTCCTCCTCCAAACACGGCGAGTTGAGTTGATGCCAAAGAGCTCCATTTTGGTCTCATCTGACCACAACACTTTCACCCAGTTGTCCTCTGAATCATTCAGATGTTCATTGGCAAACTTCAGACGGGCATGTATATGTGCTTTCTTGAGCAGGGGGACCTTGCCGGCGCTGCAGGATTTCAGTCCTTCACGGCGTAGTGTGTTACAAATTGTTTTCTTGGTAACTATGGTCCTAGCTGCCTTGAGATCATTGACAAGATCCTCCCGTGTAGTTCTGGGCAGATTCCTCACCGTTCTCATGATCATTGCATGGAGCCCCAGGCCGAGGGAGATTGACAGTTCTTTTTGTGTTTCTTCCATTTGCGAATAATCGCACCAACTGTTGTCACCTTCTCACCAAGTTGCTTGGCAATGGTCTTGTAGCCCATTCCAGCCTTGTGTAGGTCTACAATCTTGTCCCTGACATCCTTGGAGAGCTCTTTGGCCTTGGCCATGGTGGAGAATTTGTAATCTGATTGACTGATTGCTTCTGTGGACAGGTGTCTTTTATACAGGTAACAAGCTGAGATTAAGATCACTCCCTTTAAGAGTGTGCTCCTAATCTCAGCTCTTTACCTGTATAAAAGACACCTGGGAGCCAGAAATCTTTCTGATTGAGAGGGGGCCAAATACTTATTTCCCTCATTACAATGCAAATCAATTTATAACATTTTTGACATGCGTTTTTCTGGATTTTCCTGTTGTTGTTCTTTCTCTCACTGTTCAAGTGAACCTACCATTAAAATTATAGACTGATCATGTCTTTGTCAGTGGGCAAACGTACAAAATCAGCAGGGGATCAAATACTTTTTTCCCTCGCTTGTACGTACGACGACAACAAATCTCACCGGCTCGTCGTTGTTGTTTCAGGAGGGAAGGACAACGATCGGGAGGAGCGATGCGCCCACCGAGCAAGACATTGGTAAGACGATGCGCACACGTGCCGCCCACTGCACTGTTCGAGAAGAGCGCCCGCCTTGGGAAGGACTGCTCATTCAAAATAGGAAAGGCCGCTGTGATTCATGCTCCGTTTAAAGGCCACATGCGAGTTCCTCTCACTCGTGACCATGCACAAGTACCCACATTGCTGGTTTGCTTATTTGCCACGCTTATACTATTTCCCATGCTGTTTTTCTAAGCAGCCCCTGTAAACCCTTCCCGTGTAACGTGCTTGCGACTGCATCAACCGTTTTAGCTCCGTGGGCCCTGCCGAATATCACTTGATGGACAGACTGACTACGCTCTGCTGCTATCGTTGCGTTCCGTAGATATTTGTAGTACAATCTGGAGCAGCTGTGGGAGTCTAACTGGAGTCCGAACTCTTGGGCTACTTAAGATAGATTGTACAGCGCTTGTTCCGGCAATGTGCATTGATTGGATTCCCAGCCACTGGTGACATTTCTGAACCTGTCCTGGCCACGCCGTCGGACGGCTCAGCCTGAAATGAGTAACAGTTGCGTTATGTAAACCTCAGGACTGGTGAGACAAAGGTGGGGCGAGTCATGGTCTATGGAAGTGGGAGTGTAGCGGTTAGCGCGTTGCACCACAAACCCGGCGGCCCTAGTTGGATTCCTGCTCACGGCCAACACTCGTGACAATTATTTGAATTGGTCCAGGGCCTCGCCTCGGTCGACTCAGCCTCAAATGAGTACCGAGTCTGGTGCGGTGTGTACCACTGAGGTGACAAAGTGAGTCGGACGTGGCGCTGGCCACCCACCCCCTGTGTACCGTTGCCGGCCTTCATTGGTACTCGCTCATAGTACTTGTCTCAACAGTCTGTTAAGGCTACATGGGGGATCTTTGTCTGTGTGTGTGTGTGTGCCACGCAGTGCTGTGCGGGCCCTGGATGGAGAGGGAGCACTGTGTGATCGAGAACACGGCCGGCGAAGTCACGCTGCTCCCCATGGCTGGCGCCACGTGCTGCGTCAACGGACGCGACATCTCCCAGCCCTGCCGCCTTCACCAGGGTGCGTGCCGCCGCTCGGCCCTGCTGGGCCCCAACCCCGCCCCGCTGCATTGCGCCGCTGCATTGCGCCGCGTCGCCTTGCCGTGCCCGGTGGTGCTGTGTTGCATTGTGTGGTGCGCTGTGTTGCATTGTGTGGTGCGCTGTGTTGCATTGTGTGGTGCGCTGTGTTACATTGTGTGGTGCGCTGTGTTGCATTGTGTGGTGCGCTGTGTTGCATTGTGTGGTGCGCTGTGTTGCATTGTGTGGTGCGCTGTGTTACATTGTGTGGTGCGCTGTGTTGCATTGTGTGGTGCGCTGTGTTGCATTGTGTGGTGCGCTGTGTTGCATTGTGTGGTGCGCTGTGTTGCACTGTGTGGTGCGCTGTGTTACATTGTGTTATATTGTGTGGTGCGCTGTGTTGCACTGTGTGGTGCGCTGTGTTACATTGTGTTACATTGTGTGGTGCGCTGTGTTACATTGTGTGGTGTGCTGTGTTGCATTGTGTGGTGCGCTGTGTTGCACTGTGTTGCATTGTGTGGTGTGCTGTGTTGCATTGTGTGGTGCGCTGTGTTGCACTGTGTTGCATTGTGTGGTGTGCTGTGTTGCATTGTGTGGTGCGCTGTGTTGCACTGTGTTGCATTGTGTGGTGTGCTGTGTTGCATTGTGTACTGCACTGTGTTGCATTGTGTGGTGCGCTGTGTTGCACTGTGTGGTGTGCTGTGTTGCACTGTGTGGTGCGCTGTGTTACATTGTATACTGCGCTGTGTTGCACTGTTTTACATTGTGTGTTGCATTGTGTGGTGCGCTGTGTTGCATTGTGTGGTGCGCTGTGTTGCATTGTGTGGTGTGCTGTGTTGCATTGTGTTACATTGTGTGGTGCACTGTGTACTGCGCTGTGTTACATTGTGTGGTGCGCTGTGTTGCATTGTGTGGTGCGCTGTGTTGCACTGTGTGGTGCGCTGTGTTGCACTGTGTGGTGCGCTGTGTTACATTGTGTGGTGCGCTGTGTTACATTGTGTGGTGCGCTGTGTTACATTGTGTACTGCGCTGTGTTGCATTGTGTGGTGCGCTGTGTTGCATTGTGTGGTGCGCTGTGTTACATTGTGTGGTGCGCTGTGTTGCATTGTGTGGTGCGCTGTGTTACATTGTGTGGTGCGCTGTGTTGCATTGTGTGGTGCGCTGTGTTACATTGTGTGGTGCGCTGTGTTGCATTGTGTGGTGCGCTGTATTGCACTGTGTGGTGCGCTGTGTTGCACTGTGTGGTGCGCTGTGTTACATTGTGTGGTGCGCTGTGTTACATTGTGTGGTGCGCTGTGTTGCATTGTGTGGTGCGCTGTGTTGCATTGTGTGGTGCGCTGTGTTGCACTGTGTGGTGCGCTGTGTTGCACTGTGTGGTGCGCTGTGTTACATTGTGTGGTGCGCTGTGTTACATTATGTGGTGCGCTGTGTTACATTGTGTACTGCGCTGTGTTGCATTGTGTGGTGCGCTGTGTTGCATTGTGTGGTGCGCTGTGTTACATTGTGTGGTGCGCTGTGTTGCATTGTGTGGTGCGCTGTGTTACATTGTGTGGTGTGCTGTGTTACATTGTGTGGTGCGCTGTGTTACATTGTGTACTGCGCTGTGTTACATTGTGTGATGCGCTGTGTTACATTGTGTGATGCGCTGTGTTACATTGTGTGGTGCGCTGTGTTACATTGTGTACTGCGCTGTGTTACATTGTGTGATGCGCTGTGTTACATTGTGTGGTGTGCTGTGTTACATTGTGTGGTGCGCTGTGTTACATTGTGTGGTGCGCTGTGTTACATTGTGTACTGCGCTGTGTTACATTGTGTGGTGTGCTGTGTTACATTGTGTACTGCGCTGTTACATTGTGTGGTGTGCTGTGTTACATTGTGTACTGCGCTGTGTTACATTGTGTGGTGCGCTGTGTTACATTGTGTGGTGCGCTGTGTTACATTGTGTGGTGCGCTGTGTTACATTGTGTGGTGCGCTGTGTTACATTGTGTACTGCGCTGTGTTACATTGTGTGGTGTGCTGTGTTACATTGTGTACTGCGCTGTGTTACATTGTGTGGTGTGCTGTGTTACATTGTGTGGTGCGCTGTGTTACATTGTGTGGTGCGCTGTGTTACATTGTGTGGTGTGCTGTGTTACATTGTGTGGTGCGCTGCGTTACATTGTGTGATGCGCTGTGTTACATTGTGTACTGCGCTGTGTTACATTGTGTACTGCGCTGTGTTGCATCGTTTGGTGCGCTGTGTTACATTGTGTGGTGCGCTGTGTTACATTGTGTACTGCGCTGTGTTGCATCGTGTGGTGCGCTGTGTTCCATCGTGGTGTCACTTTGATACTGTGCTGCGGTCTGTCGTGTGGTTTAGTTTCTTATCCTTCGCCGGCACCTCCGATTCCCGCGGTTCGCTAAGTATGGTGCGAAAGAAGTTCAACATGCATATGTTGTCTTACATTGTGTTATGTTGCCGTGTGATGTTCCGTTGCATTGTGTTGTGTCTCGTCCGATTGTGTTGCGCTGTGCTACAATGTGTTACGTTGTATTGTTGCGTCATGTTGCACCGCGTTTTGCCGTGTTGCATTACGGCGGCGTGCCGCTGCGAATCGTTCCCCATTGCGTCACGTCATCTTGCGTCCTTGCTTCGTAATGTCTTGTTGTTGTTGTTGTTCACTCAGGCTCCGTGATCCTGCTGGGCAGGACCCACATGTTCCGCTTCAATCACCCGGCGCAAGCGGCCAAGCTGCGGCAGCGACGCAGCGTGAGCCCCCCACTACCCCACAGCTGCCCCCCCCCCCACCATCACCACCACCACCACACTCCTCGCGGGGGCTGTCGTGGGCCCCGTCTCGAATTCCCCTCCTCTACCTCTTTGTAGCGCGGTGCCTGGGCCCCTCTGCTGCATTTGGGCCCAGCGGTGGTGCTGGTTCCTTCTGTGTATGTTGAACTTCTTTCGCGCCGTACGTAGCCAACCGTGCTAACCGGAGGTGCGGCCAGAACTCGCAGTACCTGTCACGACACGTGCCATTCCTCGGGGGCCCTGAGCAGAAATACATTTTTTAGCGGCTCTCCTTTCACTTCGTAAAGTCCAGTGGTGACTATGCTGCTGCTGCTGCTGCTGCACGTGGCCTGTAGTACAGCATTGAGGAGGCAGCAGCCAGGGTTGGTGGATCACACAAATGTTGTGAAACTCCTCATCCCGTGGGCATCGAGGTGCCACGTGTACCAAGGCTCGCCAGCAGAGGGCAGTAGAGCAAACAAAAGTGGATTCCATCTGTCCCATCTGTGTGCGCGGATTTTTTTCTTCCGGTTTCCTCCCATATTCATAATCAAGATTTTTGTTGGGTTAGATCGCGTAAGAACAAATGTGTCGTAACCCTCCACCACCGGACACAGCCAGTAAGGTTTGTCATTAATTGGCCAATAACAGCCCCACTATATAGGGGACTGTAGAGCTTGGACGAGTGTCGATAGCGCCGGCTCCTCGCGCCTCCTGAGTCGTCGTCTCCCTTCGAGAGGGAAGAAATGCTGTGCTCATTTCAAGTTGAAATTATCATCACATAGTCGAGAAGATATGAGATGTGGTGAGACTGAGTGACAAGAGAGAGAGAGATGCAGACAATGTAGATACGAGAGACGTTCATTGTTTTTTTTGAGTGACTATCAGCTTATTTTTTTTGCGGGATTTGAATTTGAGCCGACGTTTGATGATGCGCCCATATATTTGTTTCACGAATCCCCGGGGGCCCCCCTTGAGCTGCTAGGGAGGGGGTGCCCTGCTGCGCTTGGTTCGCTTACGCGTGGCGCTCCCACGGGTCACGCACCGCCAGCACCCTCGATAGCCACTCCACTGACCCCCCCCCACCCCCGCCAGCTTTGAATACCATAAATAAGTCACAAAGACAAAGATCCCCCGTAGAGCTTCAATAGACTGTTGCTGTTAGCGAGTAGCAGCACCTGTGAAGGCCGGCACGGCACACGAGGGGGTGGGTGGCCAGCACCACGCCCGGCCGCCTTTGTCTCCCCAGTGGCGATGTTTACACACCGCACCGGGTACTCATTTGAGGCCGAGTCGACCTAGGGGAGGCCCAGGACCGGTTCAGATAATCGTCACCGGTGTTGGCTGTGAGCGGGAATCGAACTCGGGTCGCCGGGTTCGTAGCGCAGCGCGCTAACCGCGACACCACCGCTCCCCACATAAACAAATCACCACTCACCCCCACCACTGTGAAGGCGGTGGAGGAGAGGGCCAGGCAGGGAGGGGGCTGTGATCGTGCGTGAGGGTGTGTGACCGGGTCTACAGCAGCAGCATCACTCACTCACCCACTCACCTACGCACTGAACCCCTCCGATTAGCACGCCTGTTCCTTGCAGTCGCCTCAGATGGCGACATCTGCTTATAAGCGATATCCTGGACACGAATAACGGTCAATTGTAACGCGAGGCGATTCGTCGCACGTATCGCCCGCATCAATCTTTACGAGCTCCCCCCCCGGGCCACTCCCCACACCGCTTGGCTCACATGGCCACCGCTTTGTTTTAATTCAACGGCCGCGTGCAAGCGACACGCAAGCAGTGTTCCACAGTGGACCGCGATCCCAGCCCCCGTGGTGACCTGTCGCTAAGAGACCTCGGCCCAGCATCCCGGAAGAGGGGAAGGAGGGAGGGTTTTTTTGCAGGTTCACATCTCGGGTCGGAATTGGCGGGCCGACTCGGGTCCATCTTACATTCCGCGGTTGATATTTTAACGAGTACCGTTTGATGGACCGTGGTAGGGTCGCGATGTTTTCAGACAAAAAACATTTTCTGCTCACGTTATTTGTTTTTTCTGGAATTTGCTGTCCCGGAAGGCGCCGGAGCCCCCACCGACTGAAATGTTTGAATGCGGAGAAACAAGCGTTTGCCTCGCTACCATTATTTCATTACCCAGAGTTCTTAATGATGGGTGGAGCATTGGTGCGCTGTGAACATGCTGGCCTTGAGTTCAATTCCCAGCCACGGCTAACACCAGTGTCCAATGATATCTGAACCGGTCCTGGGAACTCCCCTTCACAAATCCACGATTGCCGTTGTGGTGAAGTATGGTCAAACGACCAACCAGCGACCCAGACGGTGTGGGGAGGTTCTGGTCCAGCTATGCTTTGGCAGTGAGATTGCTCCTGGACACGGTGGTGTGTCTGTTGTTGCTCACTCCCTGTGGTGCTGTGCCGGCGTTCAGAGGTGCTGCTCGCGAACAGCACTTGCCCCAACAGTCTATTAAGGCTACAGGGGGGAACTTTTTTGTGTGTATGTGTCGTGGGGAGCGGCAGCGCAGTGGTTTAGCGCAATCCGGTCCAAACCCGTCAACCCGAATTGGATTCCGGCTCAGAGCCAAAATCGGTAACGAATATCTGAACCATTCCTGGGCCCCCTCCCCTAGATGGACTAAATATTGTACCCGGTGCGCTGTTTAAACATCGCCACTGGAGGAGACACGGGCGACAGGGCGTGGATCTGGCGACCCACCCTGTCGTGTGCCGTGCCACCCTGTATATGTGCAACTCGCTTACAACACTTGCCCCAACAGTTTGTTAGCGCTACAGGGGGATCTTTGTCTTGGTGTGCAGGTGGGAGAGTTCCCGCAAGGCAGCTGGCTCTCGCTCATCAGCTCGGGCTCTGGAGACACCTGGGACGGGTGGCCGGGTAGCCCCGCTTCAGACTCCAACTTGTCTTCCCCCAGCCTCATCGCCAGGTGTGTGGTGCACGGTGCGCACGCGTGATGGGTGGAGATTTGCTGAGCATTTCTGTGAGGTCCTGGGGGAGGGGAAATCCCTCAGCCAGGAAAACATCGTGGCACAAAGTGGGGATGACCCTGCTGAGGCTGCGGTGCCTCAAATATTGGAAGAAGTCACCCCCTGTGAGTGGCTGGCTGAGGTGCCATCTGTTGAGGAGTACTGAAGGTGATCCGGAGTCTGAGACCAGGAAAGGCACCAGGCAGAGATGATCTCCCAAGCGAAATACTGAGGGAGGGTAGCATTTGTGCACAGACTGCCCTATATGACATCATAACAAGAGTCTGGACCACTAGACAGGTTCCGCAGGATTGGAAGGATGCCCTGGTGGTACCCCTCTTTATGAAGGGGGACTGCACAGACTGTAACAACTACAGGGGCATCTCACTCCTCAGTGTGCCGGGAAAGGTCCTGGCAAGGATTATTCAACATCGCCTTGCCAGGCACGCAGAGGAGAGGCTTGCGGAGCCCCAATGCGGTTTCAGGAAAGGGCGGTCCTGCACAGATGCCATATTTTCTGTCCGTCTGCTACAGCAGAGGTGTAGGCAATTCCAGCAAGACCTACATCTCTGCTTTATTGACCTGGTCAAGGCCTATAATACCATCAGTAGGCCTGGGCTCTGGGTTGTTATTCGTGCTTTTAAGGACCTTCATGATGGTGAGCGGGCCCGGGTAAAACTAAGTGGCTGGGAGTCAGAGCCATTCCCTGTACACCTTGGGGTGCGACAGGGATGTCCTCTGGCTCCCACATTATTTAACCTCTATTTTGACCACGCAGTTCGTGAAGCCTTCAATAGCTGTACCGGGGGAATCTCCATTTGGTACAGATATAATGGGAGGCTGATCGATGCCCGGGTGCGGTCAAGGGATGGCTCCCTATTGCTCAACCATGTTATGTATGCCGATGATTTGGTAATAGCTGCTCATTAAGAGGAGGAGTTGGAGATGCTGCTGCTGAGACTGGAGCGTGCCACTAAGAGATGGGGCCTTACCATCAGCCCCACCAAAACTAAGCACCTGCCTGGGTATTTTGTACCATCGGACACTCCACCCCCACAACTCCCAATCGGTGATGGGGCAATTGTGGAGAGAGTGGAGAGTTTCCCATACCTGGGCAGTGTGCTTATGACCGGCTCCAGTTTAACAGCAGAGGTCTCGCTCCGAATCAGTCGAGCGGCAATATCTTTTCATCGGTTTCGTAACGCTGTGTGGAAGCTACCTGGTCTGTCGCTCCGCACTAAGCTTCAGGTCTTCTCGGCCACAGTCATTCCCTCCCTTATCTACGCTTGCAAAACGTGGACCCCCCTAATGGAACATCTTCGCCGGTTAGAAACATTTAGGCTAGCCTGCCTATGATCCATCCTGGGTTTAACCAGGCTGGATTGTGCGAGGAGCTCACAAATCCCTTGAAAGATCTGGGCAAGGTCCCATTGGTGAGCTCCTCCGGCAGGCAAGGCTGCGTTGGCTGGGTCATGTAGCCCGCATGCCCAGCCACCGCATGCCGAAACAGCTTTTGTTCGGCTGGATCGAGGGATCTAAACGGGCGCGGCACGGGCTAGAGAAGAGATGGAGTGATGTGGTGCAGTAGGACGTGGAGCTGAGTGGAATTGCCGATGACTGGTACCAGCGGTGTCAAGATCGGCCTCTGTGGAGGAGGCTCGTGAAGGACGCTACTGGGCAGTTGGAGGCAGTCGCCCTCCAACAACAACGGAGGGCGGAGGAGCGACGCTCACAACAACGAGCGGAGCGCCGGGTGGCTAAAGCACAGCAGGTTGGCACAGTAGGGGGCACAGGTGGTGCTACAGCCAGTCATCTCAGTCATCTCAGTCATCTCAGTCAGTCGACCCGTGGCACCTGGGTCTGCCCCGTGACCTCCTGCCAGCGGGCGTTCGACACTTCATGTGGCCTCAAGGTGCACATGGCCTGGCACAAGCGTCATGGTGACGTCACCACCACTTAGTGGCGGATGGCGGTTGTTGTTGCTGTAGTAGTGTTGCGGTTAGCGCGCTGCGCTACAAACCCGGCGACACGGGTTCCATTTCCGCTCACGGCCAACACCAGCAACGATGATTTGAACCGGTCCCGGGCCTCTTCTCGGTCGACTCAGCCTCAAATGAGTACCTGGTGTGATGTGTAAACATCGCCACTGGGGAGACAAAGGTGGACGGGTGTGGTGTTGGCCACGCACCCCCATCGTGTGCCGTGCTCGCCTTCATCGGTGCTCGCTAACAGCACTTTCTTTTGGGTGTTAAATGCTATATGGGGAATCTTTGCCATTTGTCTACGCCAATTTTTAGGGGGAGCGGTAGCGTGGCGCTTAGCACGCTGCGCGATGGGTCCGGCACCCCAAATCCCATTACCGGATGCCGTTACCATCAGTGGTGGATATCCGAACCCGTTCTGTGCTTCCCTTAGGTCGACTCGGCCCTAAGCGAGCACCTGGTGCGGTGTGTAAACAGTAGCACTGGGGAGACAAATGTGGCCGGTTGGTCTTGGTGATGGACAGCATTACGCGCCTGTGTGCCATGCGCCCTTCATAGGCGCTTGCGAATTGTCCCAGCAGTCTGTTAAAGGCTACACGGGGGATCTTAGTCTGTGTTTGCGTAGGTTACTGGATGTGTTAAGTGTGCTATAGAATGTGGTGTCTGTGCTTCTTCGGCCGGTGGTTACGGCTGTGTCGGTTCGTCGATCACGACCGATTGGCACGCTCGCGAAACGCGTACCCGTCGACTCATGTCCTCGAGTGTCAGTGGCCATTGCCCGACGATTCGGGCGATGGCCCTTCTTCATAGCACATAAACAGGCTTCAAGGCAGAGAGCAACTCGTCTCACCTGAAGGGGCGTAATCGCTGAGTCATTTGGCTGCTTGCTTCGTTTTTTGTTGCCCAAATGAGCACTGGGGGAGTGCCCAAATCCTGTTTACAGCCCTTGAGCCCATGGGTGGCAATTCCACATTCCTATGATGGGGGGGGGAGGTAAAATTTATCCGTGGGACAACCACCCACAAAGCGATACCTATTTTATCAACCCCTTAGGGATGATGGGCTGAGCCAAACCGCTGAGTCAAACCGCTCAGCCACCCGGCCGGATCAATTGCCCCGAGTTACTATAAAAGGGTAAAAGAGATTAAAAACTGCTACAATGAAGCACAGCTCTCCGCTGCCAAAGTTTAAGTTGTTACATACTCTTTGGTTCTTTCGGTAAAGTCACGTAGGTATACATTTTTTATAAAATAAAAATAAAATAAATTAAATCACGACGTTTCGGGTGCTACACAAGTGTTCGTCATCAGGTGTGACAACCACAGCAAGAAACAATTGCTGAAGTGGGCAAAAGGGGTGCTTGTATCAAGAGGCTATATAGGTAAGAGAGGGGGGGGGGGCGGAGCCAGGGAGGAGAGATAGAGAGAAACTTCAAATCTAGATGAAAAGTTGTTAAACGCCGCTTCGAATGCCGAGCGCGTCTCTCTGGCGTGACTCAAACGTACATCTTAGCAAATCTTCCCGAGGGCAGCGAGGAGTTCCCAACGTGCGGTTGCGTGATACAGGAAGGTTCCACCGGCCCCTGCATTGCCGTTGAAACCGCACCACGTCCCCGTTTGTCTCCGTGCACGGAGCGCGCGACCCGGGACACGCGGGCAGAGAAGCTCAGGCTCGTTCAGAGAGGTCGCGAGCGAAGAAGCCTCCCTCGTAGGCCGAAGGCGGCCGCGTCCAAATCACCCGGAATATGCCCCGGTCTCATCGCATCTCCAAAGCCGACGTGGGACTGAGCCCGGGTGGCTTCTGACGTGTTTAGCCATCGGGCATAAACGGGCGTCGCGGGCTCGGCAGGCTCGGCGGGCTCCGTGTGGTGGATAGCAGAGGCCAGTGCAGCCAAATCCTTTGTTGCATTGCGACTGCCAATGCCTGCCGTGTCTCCTGCAACTCAGCCTTCAACCGAGCTACGCGTTGCCAGCGTGTTTTAATTATGGTCAAGCAAGCACACGTGGCGTCGCGAAACCCCGAGCCAGCAGTGTGCTGGACAAAGCGGGGCTGTGTGGTACAGTATGTGGATAAGGTGAAAGCACAAACCTTGAAATGCACAAAAATGTTGAACTCGGAGGCGGCACGGCGAGGCCAGGGCTGGAATAACCTTGGCACCTCTCATAGATTTTTTTTGTTCGAGGTCCGGCAACGGAATTTTCACGACTCGTATCCGGGACAAAACCTTGGCGGAGATTGTAATAAGAAGAGCATCACGGTGGGGGGGGGGGGAGGCAGCTGGGTAGCTCAGAGTGCCGAGCAGCCCATGCTGAGGGCCCCGGGTTCGCCTGTGAGTGAAATCGGGTTCTCCGGTTCACTGAGTGGAATGGTCTCAGCTCTCGTCACCAATGATTGTACAGCAAATCCCCCCTCCCTCCCCCATCACATTAAGCGTGGTTTTGCGCTCAATTTGGCCAGATTCCAGCGCTGAGGCTTACAATATCAGTTTGGCAGTCATGCGGCAGATATTGCTGTCCTACACAGAGCGGGTTGTGGGAAAGTGTTGTCCTCTAACTGTGCGGAGCAGGGGTCGCTGTAAGGGATATCAGAGGTAGCTCTTTGACATCCGCTGCTGTGGGCCATTGTCGAAGACGAAGCATTGTGCTGCTGTGCGAGAGATCCGAGTGTATACTCTGTCCCGTTGTGTGATTGATGGACAGGGGCGGAGCCAGGGGGGTGACAGGGTAGACAATTGTCACCCCCGAAAAAAAATAAAAAATCGAAAATCTGAAACATTCTGCGTATAAGTGTACGACACTCGGTCTGGCGTCTAGTTCAACAGCCTGACTCTCTAATCATTCTTGAAATAAAAATTTGTTGAATGTCACCCCGGGCTGAAAATCCTGGCTCCGCCCCTGTTGATGGAGATAGCACAACGGGGTGAAAGCGAGCATAAATTGTAAAAAACTAAAAACCCATAAACTTCAAAATTTGTTTTT